CAACAGGGTATCTTTTCCTACTTCATAATAGGTTGGCAGTGCATGAAATCCGTCCATAAATAGCGAACAACCCATATTCTTCCAATGAGGGGGCACTTTTTCAAACAAAATTAAATCGCATAATATAGGCCTCTTATACAGTCCAATGACACGACATATTATATGCTATAGTTAATTTGTAGCAATTCTTTCATTTTCTTCGCACATGGACGTCTTTCGTTTTGCATTATTAATAAGGCATAATTGCACGTGTCTTTACTGATATAGCGCGCAAAAATAGTTCTTAGAAATCCTTCAATTAATTCACCATCAACAAGAAACGGAAAGTAACTAATCAGAAAAGACTGAACACCGGAAGGAGAAAGGGACGGAGAATTTATAAATATTCTCTTTTATCCAAAAAAAGATGGTTAACTGAGGCCTATGAAGCCGTCCTCTATGTGGTATCTATATTTCATTTTTCGCTTCTGTGCAAATTAAGATTATATGTTACACTTTCCGATAAATGGATATATGATGTATGAAGCCCCAGAATCTTACCACATGGCGTATCCTGACATGGCACGCACTGTATAATAGTACAATTCTTTTTTCTTTTTTGGCAAGTGCCTATCAATTTCAATGTACTCCCTTATAGATAAGTAACGAACAGGCTACGTCCCACTTCATGATGAAGGGACTGAATTTTATCGGCATGGCGGCGTCTTCCCTACACTTTATTAATATAACACGGATTTATAAACAATACCTATGTTCCTAATTCGATTGTTATTATTTTATTGAAAGAACAGGCTCTTTTCCAAATCTGAATCTCCAGCAAACTAAAGTGCAAATTTTCTCGAACCGGTATTTCTCGGCCTAAGACATATAATATACGGATCGACACCAGTATTCCATCTACTTGTTAATGACATCTCTGCAGTGTCTGAATCTTTCCTTTCATAAAACAATATGTATTTATTACATGATCCTTCAGAACATGCCCAAATTATCCCGGAACATATCGGGGATGACAATGTGATGTAAAACAAAAAGGTCAATATAATACACAATGTAATATAGGCAGAATTATTAGTTCAGAATATTTACCTTTAACCGATATTATCCACGTAGAATTGGACACGGGGAACTCCATGCGAGATATATAAAACTAGATCTCGTACCCACCTGAATAATAGTAAGGAAGTGTACCACGATAATGAGACACACATCGAACGTGCTCATTCAAACAATAGGCTAGGTGATTTCACACACTATTTCATAAATGTCCTATCAGAGCTTTCACCCCCCAACAGCACCACAGGGACATGTCTTATGTGAATATGTTGGGTTCTTTGATCACCTATTTGACCATCACTACATGTTCTGGTTTCCTTAGGAATCCTCACTACTCATACGAAATAATAAGGAAAGGTCTAATGAGAACCGTAGAATTGCTCTGCATACTGTTGGGACAGGAATGTGCACAGGTGTTTCATACTGGAAATTCCAATGCGAAAAATGCTGTATGCGAAATTCATTACTTTGGTCCAAGGGAACATAGTGCTTGCATACGCTAATTACTCTTATTTCGAATGAAAATCTTATACAAACAGCAACTATTGATACATTTTCATCGAAACCAGACTGTACTACATGTACATCCCCTGACAATATATTTCAAAGCCCCGGTTATTATTCAGAAGTTACGTGAAATCTTGCCACCCCAAATGAGAGGACGTCACCCATGGAAAAATTGTCAGAGCACCGGTGAGGATTCTCAAATATTTAAGTGCACATCTGAAACGTGGTAGCTCCTTCAGGAATCAAATTTCGCAGCAGGTAGGAAGGCATCAATATCAACTTTTACTGGAGTCCTCAGTGTTGAAAGGTTGAAATAAATAACACCCGGTGTACACACGGAAAATATAAATGTAAAATAAGTAAAGATTGGGAAGGTATAGTTACCGTCCGAACTATTCAATTTGATGATCTTGTACGTACAGATTGAAGGTGTCCCGCATCGAATTCCTAAGCCGCGGATATTACCCAACGCGTATCGCCCCCCTCTTCCCTTTCCTAGTAGGTCCAGTCTATTTTATCCACCAGCCTCTGTGCTTTACCTATCAGTTTATGAAAATCTGTCACCACCCACCACACATAAATTCTGCGCTGTGGGGAGTACATAATGTCCTTAACTGCTACGGATGCTCCCCCCTCTGTCCTTATGCTTACGACTTTTGGGACAGGGAACTGGCAATCCTAACGACACCCCACCCGCGGTGTAGTCCCACAAACACTAAATGATGATGCCATTGCCTTCATTGAGGTGTTATTTATTATCTTAACACTTGGGGGGCCCATTA